TGTTTTGAATAAGTAGCTCTTTTTCACTTGTCTTTAAATAAAATACCTAGCAAATAATTTATAAAATTAAAGACCATGAAATATTAAAATGTCCCAAGAATATCCAAGGAATGTGGTAAAGGATGGGAACTATCAGACTTACAGCTGTTTGTGTTTGGGAGGATGTAGGGAAGGCTTAGAAGAGAGCCCTACTCTGCTGAATCCCACTACTGTAACTCATTTTAAACCCCAGTATTTAAAAATATTGTAACTCTTCGCCATGCTTAAAGCATTTTCTTTTTTGGAAGTGACTTCCATCTGAAAATTTTTGAGAGTTAAACCATTAGCAAAGAAACATTTCTTTCAAAAGTAGTCAGTTTCCCCATTTTCTCAACAGGTGTAAAAGGGACAAGATTTCTTTTTTTTTTTTTTCTGTATTTTCAACAGATGAAGACAATTGAGAGGAACTGATGACTACATCAGAGATAGCTAATCAGCATTTTAGTCCTATTGTCCTAATGAAAGGAAAAATATTGGACTGAAGAAAGAAAAGTCAAACAGAAGACAGCATATTGCATATAGTTCAACTTCACTAAAATAAGGGAATATGGAAAGCATATGTAACAGACCATTCAGTGTAGAATTGCATGAGGAAACTGCTACTCTTCAGCCTTATTTAAAAGGAATTTTTTGTTATAAACCCCATCAAAAGTAAATGTTTGCTACAATTGATTTGATTGTTTAACAGAGTCTTTCCCTTATCACCTTTTCAAAAGAAGCTTGACATTTCAGCTACATTTTAATAATTAAATCTAAGAAAATAGTAAGAGCTAACCTGAGTTGTACCAAAGTGTTCATGTTACTCCATCTCTCCATCTCTAGCAAAAGTCACTACAGAGTTTGAGAGTATAGGGTGAGAACAGACTGAAATTTTCTCTCCAGGTTCTGGCACTCCAGGACTTGTAATGGCAGTTATAGTATTTGCATAGGTCTTGACAGACCTGTTCGACAGGTGGTCTTTGGTGAATTTTTGACAGAAAGTCCTCCTATTCGTTTACAACGTTTATGAGGACTTTACTTCTTAAGGCAGCTAAAATGTCCAGTGGCAATGGGTTCCATATTATAGTTGCAGCTTTTATAAAGAAGCATCACTTTCTGGTTTTATTCTCTTGCCTTTGAATTGTATCTTCTATCTGTTGTGATCTAAGAAACAACAAATTCCTGGTTATCTTCTCCTTCATTTGATACATATATTTGAGACATATATTTGAGACATATATTTGAGAATCAAAGTATACAATTACCTGTATCTTTTTTTTTATCCAAAGCAACTTCAATGTTATCTGTTTCAAAATACAAAAAAACCAAAACCCTGCTGAACTTCTGCGAGGAGGCCAATTTTATCATTACTGTGATGTTAAATTAGCTACCAATTTACTTGTAAAACCTCATAAAATTCAATTATACCTATAAAAAATAAATGCTGTAACGGGAAGGATTGCTGTTTTTCTCCCACACATCTGTATGAGGTTGAATCTATTGATTCTGTGCTTCAACCGCAAAACTGATAGTTAACTGCAAGGGATATGTATGTCCATAATTCTACTTGAGTGATAAAAGTCATAAATTTATAATGTCTGTACTGTAGCTAAATAATGTAATATTCAATATATTCATGAGAAATATAGAACCAAAATAATTCCATCAATGCTTCTGCCCTACACCTCGCTTTCCATGTGCAGATGCAAGACAGAGATAAAATACATCTCTACTGGATTCATTAGATTATATTGCTTCCCTGCTCTTCTTGAAAAAGCAGGTTCTACTAGTTGGTGTTTTTTTAATCACTTCAGGCTAGCTATAGAGGAATATATACTATATATGAATATATGCATCTCAGCTATGGTCAATCTGCCTGGTCATGCTCACTTCTGGAATACTGCTCCTCATCTGTCCCTTCATGTAAAACCAATCTTTTTCCAGCCCATGTATGTTTTGGAGATTGCCTGTGAAAGGAAAGGTAACTTTTCCAAGTAGCTGGAGCTACATAAAGAGGTGATGAATGGAGGCAGCAGAGATGCAACTGATGTTTACCTATTTTAACTGAAGGAGAACAGGCCAAATGCAAGCAGGGTTGCAATAACAGTTTTGGGAGGAGTAAGTTTCCCTGATTCAGTTCAGTTAGGGTAGTAACTTTAAAGCCTTATGATTATTCAACTGGCAAATTAGCCATTTTTCCGCTAATCAGAGGATTCAAAGAGAAAAGGAATAATGATTGCTGATGATTTACATTCAGAATGCGTATGGAAGAAAGAATTCAATTGCTTGATAGAGATCTGAAAAATTTATTGTGGTGTGTTGTTTGGTGTTTGTGGTTGACAAAACATGCATTTGCAAGGTCTTGGAAAGCAATTGCTGGTTTTGTCTGTAAACCACTGCATAATTTCTGCCGTAAAGAAATGTTCTTCTGTTGGGAGGAATAACATAGCTTTTGTGATGACAGTTTTGGTTCCATAAAACTGAAGTTTAAGAACTATGATCTACCACTTTCCCTATTTTCTTTCCTGATTTCTCTTGTACTCTACAATCAAGTAAATGAAGCTTGAAATGTGCTGTGTTTTAAAAGTGCGTTCTGGTGATTAGTAGTCTGAGCATGACTCATCAAAGGGACTGTGGAAGTGAGTGAGGGAGATTATGAAACTGCAAACTGTATTATTTATTTGAAGGAACTGTATGACAGAAGTAGAGCCCATGTAACTCTACAACCCAGTATTCTTGTTTCAGAAAGTGAGATTTTTTTAATTCCTGCTTAATTATGTGAGAGTGAGCTACTTTAAACCACTGAATTTTAGGGTTTACTTTAATTTAATTTAATTTAATTTACCTTAATTCTGATTGAAAATAGAAATATAAAGATCTGTGACATTTTAATTCTGCTAACATCCACAGTTGTAGCTGTTTGCAAGTTAGGATTTCACCTTGTATAGACAAGCCTAATGTTTTACATAAAAAAGAATATGCTACAGGCAGATAAGCCTGCTGAAAGTACATAGAGCAAACAGAAGAAACCACTGAAAGTCAAAACAATACACATACAGCACCAAGAATACATATTACTCTGTTTGGAAAAGACACATACGCAAGATATGCTTATAGTTTACAAGTTTTATCTCAATTAAAGTGAACATAATGGTGCCTAAGTTTATATCTGGTAGTACCTAATTTCTTAATCCTTAATTTCCATAGTATTTTTAAAATTACATACTTTTTAAGGAAATTAAATGAGTTCAAATGGTATAATCCAATAAGGTGGAATAAGGTGGTTTCTTTAATCATCCTGAAAGTAATGGACACTGGGAGTTGAATAATATTTTCAGTTGATGTGTCACCTACCACTTTTTATGAAAAACAGTAAAAACAAAGCACTAAACTAATTAAAATACAGAATGGATGAAAACATTTGCTTGGTTCATCTATAATTACTTTTAGGGTGCCTAGGTTTCCTATGCTGGAATTGAGTATTCAGAGAACAATAAAAAAGTCCACTTTGTATCTCAACATGTCATTTAAAATATTACACACAAAATAATTTCTGAAATAGGCTTTTCTCATTTCTCCCTCTTCACAGACTTTTAATAAGAACAGAATTACATCCCTTTTCTTATTTGAAATAAGAATTGGTTTTGTTGTTTTTGTCAATGATGGAAATACCAGAACTTTGGTTTTATTGATTTATAACTTCCAACAAGTAACAACTGACATGGTTACAATATGCTATTAGATGACATATATTTATATTTTTCTTTGTAATTTCCCAAAGGTAAATATGAAGGGATGCATATGTATGTGTCTCTGTATGTGTAATTTCCAAATCGCTCCTTAGAGACTGGTTTAAAATTTGTAAACACGGCAATCTTGTTGTGAGAGTGAAAGTAAAGATTATACAGGGTCGTATATTCTGTGCTGGACCGTTTCACACTGCTGGAGTTTACCTCTTCAATTAATTTAACTCACCTTTTAAAAATACCTCCAATGGAAGCAGGTACATTATTAAAAGAGTTACATTGCTAGAGTATGCTCTAGAGAATACTGCTAGTTGAGATTTATTTCTGGAAACTTGTTTTAAACTACAGTTTCACTTTTTTTTTTTCCTTAGGCTTTCACTGCAAATAGTCTATGAACTCATATAGGGGATGCCAGATGTTTAGAAATATTAATTTTGCGAAGGCATGCAGCTCTCCTGCTGTGGCATGAAGGCACACAGAGATAAAACAATGAACTGTGCAGCTAAAACATTTAGGTTCATCTAAGTTTAATAAAGCTCAGAATTTGTAGATGCTATAAAAGAAGCAACAGACACATGTTTTATTGGTTATTTTTTTGTATCTGTAGCTGTTTTGGACTTCTAAGCTTTAATGTGTTGAATTAGGCTACTCACATGAGTCTTACTAAAGCCAGTGGAACTACTTACGGTAAGAAAGGAATGCTCATGGCACCGGATATGGGTCAACATGTAGGTTTGTGTCCATGTTCATATTGCAGGAATCAGAAATTCATGTTTCTAGTGCCATATTGGTAGCTAAAATAGGTAGTCTTTGAGACTCCATCAATGCTACAAGATCTTCCATCTTCAGATGAGAATCTGTGATGAGGACTGAAATATTTTGTGCTCACAGTCTAGACAGTGATGTATTCAACAGAGAATACTGATGCTGTTACATACAGTAGTCCATTTTCTATAAAACTATTTTAACTTCTAGGAATAAATCTTGGATTAGCCTCAGATTTTGACAATACTGACATTTCCCTCACCAGTTTTCAGCTGTTGAGAAATATTGGCTACAGTTCTTCTTTCTGAGATTTCATTTTTATGGAAATAAATAGTGAAGAAAAAAAACTTGTCCATGCCTGTTTTTCCTACAGTGTTTATTAGCTTTTCCCAGGTTTTCCTGATGTGACTTTTCTCTCTTCTGCTCTTCCACTTTCAGAAGATGCTCAGGTGAGTAATTTTAGAAATGATAATGGACTTGGCCTGAACTTGAGAATTCTGATTTTCAAAAACTTTGGAAAGTCAACACATCTGGATTAATTCTAAATCAAAAACAAGTGACCAAAAAAAACAACCCAAAATTAATCACAAGCAACACAGGCTAAGAAACACTGTTTAGCTATCTTTGAAACAAGTATTTTTGCACTGAAATGATGTTTCCTGGGGTTGTGTTTGCATGAGATTGCTCTCCTTGTTTTTCTAAAGAAGCCAGAGGACTGTCTAACTTTAAGATTCCTGTACTGGGTTTTCTGGTTCAAGATGAAGAGCACAGAGTTTAGGCTCCTGCCTTTCTGGCAGGAAGCCTGAAGCACCTGAAAACTGTTATGTAGTAGAGCTTACCTGAAGCTGCTGAAACCAGTTGTTCACTATAGAGTTCAAATTTAACCAGCCTGCATTTCAACAAAAAATGGAATCTTCTAGTTAGAAAGGATTCAGCTGTAAGGATACCACCTTAAAAAACCTTATTTCTTTTATAACAAACATAAATTCCTGTTTTCTGCAGGAAATAATCAGAGATCAACTACTTTTCCCACAAAGAGACTGTTTATAGGTGTTTACTGAAGGTGCCACCATTTTTTTCCATTAGCTGATTAGTGTACCCCAGGCTTCTAAGAAACATTTGAGCCCACAAAGGAATAAAATTGTCAGTAGCAACTATTCAAAGAAGTGGAACATGTAGGATTTCTGTCCCTATGCTTTGCTAAAGTTGAAATATAATAAGATGGAATCTCAGTAGAGTTAATTACCCTAAAGATGTATTGTCAGGAACTCTTGAGGCAGATTATTCTGAAATATGAAAAACAGGAAGGAATGATTAATTTCTCTAGCAATGGGGATGGATCTTGTAGTGAGAATATTAATAAAGGATCAATCTGTAACCAAGTCAGCTATTTAATGTTTACTTTTAACATATATTATGTGGATTAAAATGTGGCTAACTGAAATAATCTCCTTTCCAAAGCGGATGTGTATAACAGATGCCATTGCTACACAATAGAAATTATTCAGATCACTATTGTTCTGATGTTGCTGTACTCAAACATCAAAACCATTAATAAGAAAGAACAATGCTTCCATGTAGATTGTATACCAGACAAATGGCTAAATGTTCTTCCACTGATAATGGCTCTTGTTAGAATCAGACAAATAAAAAGACTTTTTAGATGTTTTCAGGTTTTTTTTTTTTTTTTCCCTCTTAAAATACGTGATCCATTCAAGAAAAGCATAAACTGATACACAGTCTCTTCATCTTTTCTTTTCAGGCTTAATAACTACCAATCCTTAAAATCCTGCTGGATTTTTTCAAATAACTTTTTGAATGTCTCTATGCTTTTAATTTCCATGATGTCCTGCAGATTGATGTTTCATAGATTAAATGTGAGGCTTTTTGTTTCCTTTTATATGTGTTGCCTATAGCGTTCAACAGCGCATCCTTTAATTCTCATTTCATGACAAACAATGAACCATTCCAACTTCCTCACAGGCTTGAGGGGTGGAAAACCTAGCAAGAAAAAGCTAAAGTTGTAGAATTAGCTGTAGAGTGAGACTAGCTAAGGTTAAGTACTCAGGACAGTGAGCTCTGGAGAAGCTGTTAAACTACTTGGGCAGCTTAAGATTTTTGTATCTGACCTCTTGAAACTGGGGTATGTCAAAATAAAAGGCCATGTTAGATGATGTGAAGCTTCATATTTTCCATCAAAGAGCAAAGCATTAACACAAGGAGGACACATATATTCTCAGATATTGAATTACCCCCCAAAACAGCTAAAATTAGTTAAATGTAACCAATTTTTAATAAGAGTACTGAAATAAAACTTGTGTGTTCTCCATTTCTATCACGTTCAAAGGCATGCGAAAGTCCAGAAAAGATCCAGGGGAATTATGAACTTTGACACATCAGTTATCATTGTACTTCAGGTTACTAGGAAACACCCCTCTTCTTTTATCAGAACGAATATATATTTGGTAGACATATTTTTCTTCCAACTTTTGCATTTCACTCCAAAATCTAGCGCATGATGGCCCCTTTCTATACAGATATTTTCTGCTATATGAGAGCTATATATGATATTCCAAAGAGAAATAATGGTTCTTCTTTTTGTGCTTGAGAAAATAAAGAAATAAAGGTATGTTTTAGGATTATGAAATGACTCATTCATTTATGTTGACAAATTACTGTATCTAGGTACCCTATTAAAATACTAAAAGTATTATTCTTCCTACAAATCATTGTTTAGCATAATGTCATGATGACAAGCTCTGATGAACTCCTAGAAAGAAGGCCTAAATAAAGGCAAAAATCAAGAGGCTTTTGAGGTTTTATCTGCTGTTTCTCTTAGAGACCATTTTAGGAAGATCTTACAGCAAACACTAAATGTAATATGCAGTTGAGCTTAGAATGTGTTGTTTCTTGAAAACTAGTATCTTGTATAATAAAATAATTTGATTTTTTTTAAAGATTTTTCCCACTATAATCTGGCTAGTATTTTTAATTTTCTTTTCTAAATATAAATTTTACAAGAAAAAAATAATAATCAGAGCTTGATTATATTTCTACGCAAAATTTACTATTCAAGTGTAGGAGAAAACTAATAGAAAATAAAAGGCAGAATATAAATCAATTGCTCAGTTTCACTCAAGAAAGCAGTTACATAGTTTATCTAGTCACTATTTTCCCAGGTGTGGTTTCTTTGTATTTTTTTTTAACTAAAAATATGTAAACCTACAGTTAATTGAATATTAGAATATATATACTTAAACAGTCTTCTTCTTCTCCCCCCCTTTTTCTTTACTTATAGAAAACTTTAAACCATTTTTAATTTTTCCTAAAAAACAAAGGCAAAAATTCTCTTAGCTAAATAAATATCCCTGAAACAGACTAGCAGAATATCATAATAGCCCGGGATTCTTTACTCCTTTGAACTATCAGAAAAACCAAAGGTCATGGCTCTCTAGCATCAACAGAAATGGAAAGAGTTTAGCCAACGTATGCAATGATCTTATTTAAATCCTTCTTAATGTTGCAAAGATCTGTGACAGTGAAGCTCTAAATTTGTGTCTCTGTAAACCATGAAAGCACCACTAGATGGTGCTCAAGAATATATATAGTCTCTCGAATTTGCAAATCCCATGGACTAAAAAACAGGATTGCATTTCTCGTGATGCTAAATATTTTATAACTCCAGAGGTTTAGTCTCCCAGGTAAAAAAAAAAATCTAGAAATAGCTATTAAAAAAAAAAAAAAAAAGTAGAAATTCTCCTCCCTGGTAGGGGAGGAGAATTAAGCATTTCAGAACTGATCAGATGACCAAAATTCAGTGAGCTTCCCAATGGCAGCCATGCACATAAGGATAGACTTGATGATAGTGCCTTAAAATTCACTCCATTCTGAGAAGAAAATGTCTTCTCCAGGAAGGCTGCTCTTACGCTCTTGGTAATGAAAGGCTCTTTGTATTCTTCCTCACAAGGACCTGGAGCTGTTACTTTTTCAGGCATGTATGTAAGATCTGTTGCTCTTGAAATAATGGGCAAGATACATGGGATTCTCTACTATAACGATTACGAGAAGTCCAGAAGGAGAATTCTGACTTATGGCCTTTATTTCAAAAACTCTTCAGTCTTAATCTGAAACAACAGCCACTATTCTGTTCCTGTAAAGCACCAGAATATTTGTCAGCTAGGAGAGATATTTGGATACCTTTAGGCAATGGAAAGTATGAGGGGTTTTAGTTTCACTATAGTGTGTCTATAATCATTAAATTATTATATATGTCAATCACCAAGTTTAAAAAGAAAGCAGCAGCACCATCTTCATACTGTATAGAACTTCACTGATTAGCTTTTCTCTGAGAGCAGTTAAGCTATGCTTAACCTAGCCACACAGGACCTTAAGCAGAGGTGGACTGTAGGTGCTTAGATAAGAATTTGTGTTGACCAAAACTGATCTGTTTTGCTCATGTACTGTAAGGAATCTTGAAAGTGATAAAAGCAAATCTGAGGTACTGATGGCACATCAGTCAAAATATAAGGTTGTGTTTTTGGGTGCCTGCTTCCACTTTAGTCCAACCTAACCAGTCTGGTACTGGTTTTGACATTCACCAGACAAAGCTTACTGTGAAATGTCTATGTTGAACAGTTCTTTCTACATAGTTAGTGAGCTTATCTGGCTATATGTGATAAATCACCATAATCAAAATAACTAAGGGAAAACGTATCTATTATTTCTAATAATGTCTGTAAATAGTGATGGAGGTATTACTCTTTTATAGAAAGGAATTATTGACTGTCGCTAAGGAAGTAGATTAGAATTGCAGATTCCTCAGAACAAAATTATGCCCATTTTCCACAGGAAATAAAAGAACCCAACAAAACCCACAAAAGAAATTTAGAGTGGACAATGAACAGCCTATGAAAGAGAGAAGGCAAAACAAAAGAGACTGAACCTCACTTTGTTTTCCTTGTGGAAAATGTCTCTGGCTTAAGAAAAGAGAGAAGAATGAAAAGCTTCTTTGATTGATTTTGCAGCTAATAGAATAGCACAAAAGCATGCTGATTGCTTTAAAATGGAGATGGAGAACTTGATTCAAAACTGGCATGAACATATTTAGCTTCCACAGAAGTCAGCAATAAGCGAATACTATGACTCTTCAGACTGCGTTCCAACAGAAGCGCGCACATGCAAAAGCATAAGCCATGAGTTATATGGCACTCACATTTATATATTGCAAGTGAGAGTTACATTGCACTATATATTTCTTGATTATATTATAGTTTTATCAATATGGTGATACTAAACACTGCACTAAACTTAGATTTTAGTAGATCCAAAGTACTTCATGACTGTAAGGCCACGGAAGATTATTGAGTGAAATTGCCATTTGAATGAGGTTTGGACCTATCCAGTTACCATATGCCTTGTATACTTTCATGCTAAGCTCTTAGAAAATGCTGGTAATGCTTGCCTTAGTAAACACTGGTGAAACATCCTCATAATTTGGAAATGCAAAATATATCAAAATTATCATGACATAAAGATATTAAGTTTGCAATAAAATTGCAGTGCCATATCCAGAGCAGGAGTGAAGAAAAGTCTTTTTCTGTTGTCACAAATTCTAAAGCAGCTTTTTTTCATAATTGCAATACACAAATCAGTATTACTCTTCTATACAATATACCAAATGAATGTAGTAACAACAGCTTCCTACCACTTGCACAATTTCTTCAGGGCTATTTTCAAGCTCCAGTGCTCTTCAGTATGGGAAAGTGAATAAGATGTCAATGAGATAGATTTAGTACATTTAGGATCAATTTAGTACATTTAGGATAGATTCAGTACATATTGGCATTGTAATATTTGCCAGCTCTTGATTAAGCAGATTGACATAACTTAGCTCTCAAATTCAGTGAAATTAGGTAAGGATGTGAACAAAAGTGGGAATGCTGTTCTTGAAGATAATATATAAACAGTTAAATAATGTTTCACCTGATATTTAGAAGTAGTAATCTCTGGACTAGTATGGAAAAGGCTGGATGGAGAATAGACCATTTATAAATCTATATAATACAGGTTAGTTCAAATGAAATGGAAAGATATTGAATAAAATTACTGAGTTGTTGAGTCGTAAAATTGGCAAGCTATTGTTGCAGTACAACCATATACTGCAGTCTCTTCACCTTTTATGTTAGGAAGGCCATGTACAGTTCAGTACTTCGACTTTAGATACCTGAGTAACGCTAGCTGCAGTGTAGTTGTAGTAGATTTGGTAACATGCCAAGAAACAGCTTCCCCCGACTCAATTAAGGATCATACAATAAAAAAAATATGTAATTTGTGGTCAGGTACAGCCTCATCTCTCTGTGTCAGAGGAAGGTGTTAAATTCAGTTATGGATAAATTTCATCTCTGGCTCATTATTTTGCTCTTTTATGCTGCATTTTGCCTACATAAATTCCAGTGGAGTGCTGTAAAATTGTTACTGTATTTTATCCTGGTAGTATAACTACTTCTTTAGAATTGACTTGACAGTTCTTCATTTGGAAACTAATATACTTCATCAGGGAATGCTGAAATGATAATGCTTAACCTTAAGCTTCCAGAGTTAAAGAATTGCAACCAAGCAGCTATTGTGACGGCAGTCATGGTAACAATACAGCACAGAGTACTAAATGTTGTTTTTCACATGGTAATGTAGCTTCTATAAATTATAGGCTATGTGATTCAACCCTTTATCACTATGATTGGGCATTCTATAATCACTGGAACATACATTAACAGTAAAGCATATCAATCCAAAATATGTAGCCATGAAATACAAATACTGTGCTCATTTCATGTAAAAGGATGTTCAAACTGACTAAAATGGCAGTATGCATGAGATCGGTTTATGAATACCAATAGATGTGGAAGCAGAAATTAATCAGGAAGCAGCAAGGGAGGTGCTGGCAAAAGCTGGAATCATATAGGGCCATAATACATGCTTTACACTTTATTGCAATTTTCCAATTAACTAACTGCTGGAAAACACCCTGCTTTAGTGTGTTAGCAGCACGGTTTGCTGCTGCTCCTGGGTGTTAGAATGCAGAGGCAATCACACCATATTGAGAGTGTTATGGACAAACAGAGCAGAACCACCCATGTAACCTTTTAATAATTAAAATTTTCTGCTTTTCTAAAATGCTTTCCAAGTGTTACAGCAGGTTCAGGACCCAGTTCGTGTCTTGTGTGCTGAAAGCGTTAATGGTTTACACACCATTTATGAAAAATCTTAATTAAAAAAATATTCTGAAAATGACATTTGTATTTTCTCTTCTCAGTCCCCAAATGAGCCTCTAAGGCATCTCTGTCTGAACAGCTTAAGGATAATAAATATATTGTGTAAATTAAAAGAAAACAGACCCTTTATAGTCTCTGATCACATCTCCAGAATGTGAAAAGACTGAATCGATGCACTGATGCACGTTCTTAGTGAGTCATCTCAGCCAAATCCTTTTCACTCTTTTTCTCTTGCACTAAGGTTTTTGTTTCATGTTTTCTGCTCCTTCTTTCTGGTATAACTCAGAGATACCCCAAGGAAGGTAAACACATTAGGTTATGTAGTTCACCATGTTTCTATAAAACAATGTACTGATTTAGGACGAATAAATATCTGGCTCTAGAATTACTAATAACTGCTGTTGTACTGGTGACAGGAACCAAAACACAGCAGAGGGTTTTGTTTACAAAACAACATACTAGAGGAGAGAAAATAGCAATAAAATACTGTTTCAAATTTCTTCTTTGGATGATGACAAGAATAGCAACCCTTATTCATCTGAGTTAGATCCACTAGATGTCTAAAGTGGTATATAAAGGCAATTTAGGAACTTGGTACTCTTCTTTCCAGATATTTTCATCACTGAATGTTACCTAACATAGGAAGTATGTATCTATGTTTTGCTAGAAATCTCCATAGGCTTTCAGGGAATGCCTTAGGAACACAAAAAAAGAGAGTGCAGGGTTGTGTCCTCCTCAACCTAAGGAGTTTGAAACATCTCGCTCCTTCTGGGAGCCATGATGGATGAGCTGATCAAGAAATCAAAGGCGATAGCATGGTCTTTCACCCTCACTGGATTTCTCCTCTTTTACAGAAATAGATATAGAAGTCAGAGAGAGAGTGTAACCACACTGTCAATGAAAAGAAATGTTAATACCTGGAAGTACGAACAAGGACCCAACTCTAATTCCACGTCGTAGACAACAGGCTCTAGAGACATATGTATTGTTTGCTTCTGGCACTGGGACATAGCTTCCCCATGTTGGCTAAACCAGTTTCCTAGCATGCCCTCCTGCAGCTAAGAAAAAAAACCACACCAAAACCACAAATGAAATACCATCTCTTCATTCTAGAAAGAATTTATTCCAGTAAATGGAAAGGAAGTGAACTGAACTTTACACTGGCTTTATTTGTATAACAAACAAAATTAAAAAAAATCCCATAATAAAGTTAATGTCTTAAAAAAGGAAAAGAAAAAAACAAAAAATCCAAACACACTGCAAAATAAAAAAATAAGTGAGAATTAAGCTTGTCACAAAAGACTACAATACTTTCCTTGAAAATTTAATTCAAACCTTTTAGTCTGATAAAAACCATTTTTTTCCTGAAAGAAAATTAAAGCTCCGAACCAACAAAAATGAATGAAGGAGAAGACAGGAAGTTATAAGGGCACAAAAGATACTCTGTTAATATTCTCTAATCCTGCTAATGTTATTTTGTTATCTGGTTATTCAGTATTGTCAGAACCTTCTCCAGGTCTTCATAGTCAAGGTTTGCTTGTGCATATTTTGAGCTGTACAGATTTGAACACTGATTTCTGTGGAACTAATTCCAAAGCAATAAATCATTCATGTCAAAATTCCATCTTTGTATTCTACTCTTAATTATGAATACATGAAATTACTTTCTCTCTAAATTTCATTAATTTCACAACAGGTCAGCGTCTATATGAGTTCCTTTTGATAAGCCTTTAGGTTGTATAAATAAGCAGCACAAATCTAGTCTTTTCATAAATATTCTTGTTTAGTACTTCAGCAAATCCTTTTCTACAAAAGTTATGGGATTCATACTTGCTTCATTAATGTGTATCCACATATATGCTAACTTTAGTGTGTAACAATTTTTACTAGCTTGACAGGTACACGTACCAAGTTTCTGTTGTTACATGGATACCATTCAGAGCACTGTTTAGGAATTGTTGTTACATTCCTTACCTTATTCCTGAGAGCAATTTAATCAAGAGACTATACAGAAAATTAACTGATGGGAAATTTCAGTACTTTCTTTAGCAGTCTCATGTGAATAGCAGCTGAACTTAGCCTGAGTTTATAGTTTATTCTACTTTCTTCACCTGGTTCCAACTTCTTTTTTTAAGAAGGAATTTTTATTTCTAATGTTTTCTCAAGGTACTGCAGACACAAGAGAGATTTGAAAAGAATCTGTGGCCGTCTATTTCTACTTATGGTTTACCCTTTTAAATTTTCCTTTTAGAATCATAGAACTGTAGAACCAACTAGTTTGGAAAACAACTTAAAGATCAAGTCCAACCTCTACCCCAGGACTCCCAAATCCACCATTAAACCGAGTCACACTTTGTCATTCCTCTTCTGGCTGTTGTGCAGGTTTTTTTTTTTTTTTCCTTCTTAAATACATTATCCTAGAGGTGCTACCACCGTTGCAGACGGGCTGAACCTTGGCCAGCAGCGGCCTACTTTGGGGGACTACTGTCCATGTATTTGTTGCTGAAAGGTATTAGGAGTCTTAAACTGTATTCCCGTGTCGTGTGCTGATCACCATCACAGTCAGCAGGCAGGTCCCAAGGATACCCAAAGGACATTCAAAACCTTCAGAACTCTCAAACGATGCTGCTGTACTTGTCACTGGGGCTGGTGTAGCTGCTGTGCTTGCCGGCCCTCCCACCACCAGCTTCTCTTTTCGAGTCCAGCTCTTCCTCCTCTGCCTTGCTGGGAAATGCTGCGTGGTCTCCTGCATCCTCCTGGGGCTCGGCGGACGGCTTCCGGGTAATGCTCTCGGCCGTCGGGGGGCTGGGCTCGGCCGCGGGGCGGGGCTCCTCCGCGGGGCTGGTCGCGGCCGCGGGGCTGGGCTCCTCCGCGGGGCTGGGCTCCTCCGCCGCCTTCTCCCGCTGCGCGGGAGCTGCCTCCTTCCGCTCCTCGACCGCCCCGACCTCCTCCACCGGCAGTCGTCCCCTCGCGGCTTCCCGGCCAGCTCCCCCCGCCGGTTGCTCCCGGGGGCCGCTCTCGAGGGCCGCTTCAGCAGCCGCCGGCTCCCGGGGCCGCTCCCCCTCAGCTCCCCGCGGCCTCACGAAGACGGAGGTGAGGGCGAGGGCCAGGCCGGTGAAGAGCAGCCGGACGGCCAGGTACAAGTCCACGGCCACGTCCGTCCTGCCCTGGTGCTGAAGCCCGCCCATATTACAAGTCATTGCCATAAAGCACAGTGAGACAAGAACCTTAGCCCAAGCCCCACACTTGATAAACACTAACACAGCAAATACCGGCTCTAAGTAAGTTACAACATTCTGAAACTCTGAGATCAACAAGAACAACTCTGAGAGCCAATAAATCAGCACTGTGACAAATGACTATTAATCCGCTCAGATCTGACGTTATCTCAACCCCTCTTGGCCCACATTGGGCGCCAAAAAGAACTGTCGTGGTTTAAACCAAACCAGACAACTCGTTCACTCCCTCCCCCCCCCCTTCTTTCCCTCCTACTCCCGGAGGGACGGAGAGGAGAATCAAAAGAATGCAACTCCCACGGGTTGAGATAAGAACAGTTTAGTAACTAAGGTATAACACAAATCACTACTGCTACCACCAATAATAACAGTGATAAAGGAAATAGCAAGGGAAGAGAATACAACACCTCATCACCAGCCGACCGATAACTCCCCCCCCCCCCCCCCCCCAAGCCAAAGCCGGCTGGCTTTGGCTCTGTCAGACACAGGGTTGGCTTCTAGAGGCTTCTCACAGAAGCCACCCTGGTAGCCTCTCCTGCTACCAAAATGTTGCCTTACAAACGCAATACACATAGCAATAGTGAAATCAAAACTATATACACACATATATTTGTGAGTGTATGTGCCTGTGTACACGTCCGTGTGTATAACATACCAACATATACAAATATACACATACATAACACACTTCTAATACACATATATAACACTTCCTAATGGCTTGTTATTAACTTTACATCTATCCAATTATGTTGACGTTACTGGTGGCTATGAAACTTGTTTACTTAAAGATATGGGATTCTTTCTAGCCTACAGCATAGGAGTTAATCATAAAATGTTAGTACTAGTTTCTGATTAGTTCTGATATGGCATGTGTAGGAAATCTGTGTTGTGGTAATACTACTTTTCTTTATTAAATACTGAAATTTCTGCCATTCCTGTATTTTTTTTGATACTTCCTATTCACACCCTCTGCCATTGCATAGTGTTTTTAATATGCTACCAATTTTTCTACTTTAGCCAAGTTTCTGATTAATTAGCATAACCTCAGGTATTAACAAATCATAGATTCATAGAATCATTTATGTCAGGAAAACTCTTAAGATCATTGAGTCCAACTGTAAATTAGAAGAAATACTGGTTTTTGATTGGAATTGAAGTCATCCTGAAACAGAGTTCATGTGGAAATTGGTCCTTTGCTAGCAGGAGTGCTGTAAGTCCTGCTAGATTAATATTATATCTGGTAGACAAACTGTATCATTGCCTGAGGCCCAGATTGTGGTCACATCTATTTGACAATTTTTCTTTTTACTTCACCTCCTCTCTCCCCCACCTCCTTATTATTAGGAATATGCCAATTTATTAAAACCAGTTTTCAATGTAAACATTAGTTTCAATAAGAATACATTTCTGGGCAAAATCTGAGACCTTTGTCACTGTGCTTACTACAAGTAACTCAGTAGCTGAACTGAGACAAGCTTAAGCTGTCTCATAGACTCAAGCCAGACATTTGAACCTATCTGGTGACCCAAAACTACTAAGGCAATTGTTATTCTGGTGTACATCTCTCATAAGAGCTCCTGCTGGAGATGTTTGAGTATTTGAACATTCAGCAAAACAAAATAAATTTAACATTGTTTTTTGTTTGGAAGACTCCTGTCAATGTGTTTACTGCTGAAAGGAATTAGGAGTCTTATTTTTTTTTTCCTGAAAAGGGTGAAAAAGGAAGAAAGAAAGGCAAAAAATAAATGCTTATTGTAAAGGGAAAAGAAGTCAACATCTGACTAAACTTGTTTTGTAAGTGCTGAAATAAGCAGTTCCTCAAAGGATGAGTTTCTTTAATAGAATGGTGTATAAATGCTCATATAAGTGCTAATATCATGACCTAAGCTGCTAGGGAGCTTAGACTGCTAATAGAAGTATATATACATTTATTTGGTTGTAATATATTATGATTCAATTTGGTATGGAAACGAGAAGTGTTTAAGTATCTCATCATTTCTCATTCCAGTAACAGAGTCAGCACCCCTGTTGTTTGTGGTAGTTAGAATTATAAAGCTAAATGTTTTCTGGACTGAGATGTCTCAAATTTTATGACCATATGGAGTTTTTAAATACTATTTTTCCATTGTTATCTTCATATATCGCAATGCCAATAGTACCATTTCTATCAGCAATTAAAGTTTTTACTCTTACTTAATTCAGTTAAGAGTTTGTTTTATGCAAATTTTCTCTGTAGAAAGCTTTAAGTTTAGACTTCATATTAAATTAGCAAGATAATTACTGTTTATGGTGAAATATAACATCCATTTCAATACAGAATCACAGAATCATAGAATCGTAAAACCATAGAATGGTTATGGTTGGAAAGCACCTTACAATCATCTAGTTCCAATCCCTCCGCCATGGGCAGGGATGCCTCACTCTAGACCAGTTGCTCCAAGCCCCAACCAATCTGGCCTTGAACACTGCCAGGGGTGAAGCATTTACCACTTCTCTGGGCAACCTGCTCCAGTGCCTCACCACCTTCACAGTAAAGAACTTCTTCCTTATATCCAAACTGAACTGCTTCTGTTTAAATTTGAACACATATATAGCATTGATAGAAAGAATGGCAACATGAGCAAGTACTTGAATAGACTGTTTTCTGTATAACAATGGTTTTTCCTCTAAAAGAAGTCAAATTGGAAAAAATCTGTTATTGTGATGAATGGAACTAACATAACGTTGATGGCTACCTGACTTCCCAAAGGTTAAAAAGAGCAGATTTGGTAAAAGATGTTTGTTGACAGAAATTACTGTTGGGGTCAATGGTGCATTTTGAGAATAAAAGTAATCTGTGTGATGGCAGAACGTGCATGCCCCGTTATAAAGTTTGCCATGGTTGCTCTGAGTGCTTAAATGGATGATATCCTAACTTCTGTGCTAAGGCTGACAACGATGAGTCAAATATGTATTGTACACACAAAGATGCTTGCTCATGTTATGAAATATATGTTATTATCATGGTCTAAGCCATCACAGTCTTGTGAGCTATTTCAATGTAATAGACAGCATAATTTTATATTAAATACCGCCAACTGCATGTCAAGTTAGATGAAAATATCTAAACTGGTAAAACAGACAAACATAGTCATGCATAGAATGATCAGTTAATCTTGATGCACTTTTAGAGTATATTATGTTCCTTTATTATTTTATTCACTTATGAAAGTAATCATGTTATCATTTGCAGAACTCTATTTGGCTAGTTCTAGTGTTTTATTAAATGTGAACTTAGGGATAGTTTTAGAAATGTGACCATACTGTAATGTAACGTATCAACACACCACACTGTGATTCTAACTCATTAAAAGTCATTATGTAGGAAGGGTTCTTTTCATCAGCTTTATCTGTCCTTACATGTAAAACCATATATGTGGTAAGATTGTAAAACTTCCTTGCTTGAACCCTCATTTTGATAAGAAGCAGTATTCATATATGTGTAGGACAATGAAAAGATATGAATTCCAATGCCTTGATATAGAAGTATGTAAACTCATACCTAAGTTATACTAAATAGATTTACAATGCAAGAATAATGTAAGTTTAATGTACCTGATCTATGTAGAAACACAACCTATGGTTCTATTTCAAAAGTAGATGTGTATGTTAAGATTTCCAGGAATGGTTTTAAACTGATTTGAAATAATCATTATGAAGAAAAATAAATGTTTTAACCCCATAAGCAAATATATTAAAATATCTGTAAAATACATACTTATGTATTCATTTAATAACTAAAAATATTAAAATTAGAAATATATGAATATATATAATACATTAAAATTCTTTAGTCATGTTCAATCACCACAACTGTAAACTTGGCCTAACAAATATATACAGGATTGAACATTTCCTTTCTTCATTCATAAGCATTTATTCACATATAATCTATTTTTTATAATTTATCAATCACATAATTACCATCCTCCCCCAGAAGAAGTGTTTTAGAGATAACCATTGCAAAAATAACAGTGCTAATATTAGAAGAACTTCAAATTTCACTGACTTTACCTTCTTGTGTGTTTTTCCTTTGGTTTACTTGCATAACAGTGTAAACCCAGTGTTGAGTTT